TAGGCTTGTGTTTTTAATTACAACAACATTATGAACTATTTTAAATTACGGAATATTCCCAAATATTATTATCTCTTAAAAAATCTTTTTGCAAATTTAATTTTCTTAAAAAAATCAAGGTTTTTTTTCATTATCATATAATCTTCATTTAAGGAATTCATGTTGGTTTAATTATTTATGTTTTAAAAGACCCTTTATTATCAAAATTTCTTTGTTTTGGGTTCAATTAACTTTCATTATTTGGAGAGATATTAAAGACACGTTTTTTGGAATACATTTTTATATAAAATAATATTTGTAAAAAAAACATGCTTGAAATCAAGAGGACATTCAACTGTTTAAGTAAACTAAAGACTTTTAAATGGAATCTGATTAAAGAAACGGTTCTAGTTCAGTTCTAGTTCAATTCTAGTTCAGTTCTAGTTCAGTTCTAGTTCAGTTCTAGTTCAGTTCTAGTTCAGTTCTAGTTCAGTTCTAGTTCAGTTCTAGTTCAGTTCTAGTTCAGTTCAGTTCTCGTTCAGTTCTAGTTCAGTTCTAGTTCAGTTCTAGTTCATTTCTAGTTCTAGTTCAGTTCTAGTTCAGTTCTAGTTCAGTTCTAGTTCAGTTCTAGTTAGTCTAGTTCAGTTCTAGTCAGTTCTAGTTCATTTAGTTCAGTTCTAGTTCAGTTCTAGTTCAGTTCTAGTTCAGTTCTAGTTTCAGTTCTAGTTCAGTTCTAGTTCAGTTCTAGTTCAGTTCTAGTTCAGGTTCTAGTTCAGTTCTAGTTCAGTTCTAGTTCAGTTCTAGTTCAGTTCTAGTTCAGTTCTAGTTCAGTTCTAGTTCAGTTCTAGTTAATTCAGTTCTAGTTCAGTTCTAGTTCAGTTCTAGTTCAGTTCTAGTTCAGTTCTAGTTCAGTTCTAGTTCAGTTCTAGTTCAGTTCTAGTTCAGTTCTAGTTCAGTTCAGTTCAGTTCTAGTTCAGTTACTAGTTCAGTTCAGTTCTAGTTCTGTTCTAGTTCAGTTCAGTTCTATTTCAGTTCTAATTCTGTTCTAGTTCAGTTCTAGTTCAGTTCTAGTTCAGTTCTAGTTCAGTTCTAGTTCAGTTCTAGTTCAGTTCTAGTTCAGTTCTAGTTCAGTTCTAGTTCAGTTCTAGTTCAGTTCTAGTTCAGTTCTAGTTCAGTTCTAGTTCAGTTCTAGTTCAGTTCTAGTTCAGTTCTAGTTCAGTTCTAGTTCAGTTCTAGTTCAGTTCTAGTTCAGTTCTAGTTCAGTTCTAGTTCAGTTCTAGTTCAGTTCTAGTTCAGTTCTAGTTCAGTTCTAGTTCAGTTCTAGTTCAGTTCTAGTTCAGTTCTAGTTCAGTTCTAGTTCAGTTCTAGTTCAGTTCTAGTTCAGTTCTAGTTCAGTTCTAGTTCAGTTCTAGTTCTAGTTCAGTTCTAGTTCAGTTCTAGTTCAGTTCTAGTTCAGTTCTAGTTCAGTTCTAGTTCAGTCTAGTTTAGTTCTAGTTCAGTTCTAGTTCAGTTCTAGTTCAGTTCTAGTTCAGTCTAGTTCAGTTCTAGTTCTGTTCTAGTTCAGTTCTAGTTCAGTTCTAGTTCAGTTCTAGTTCAGTTCTAGTTCAGTTCTAGTTCAGTTCTAGTTCAGTTCTAGTTCAGTTCTAGTTCAGTTCTAGTTCAGTTCTAGTTCAGTTCTAGTTCAGTTCTAGTTCAGTTCTAGTTCAGTTCTAGTTCAGTTCAGTTCTAGTTCAGTTCTAGTTCAGTTCTAGTTCAGTTCAGTTTCTAGTTCTAGTTCAGTTCTAGTTCAGTTCAGTTCTAGTTCAGTTCTAGTTCTGTTCTAGTTCAGTTCTAGTCAGTTCTAGTTCAGTTCTAGTTCAGTTCTAGTTCAGTTCTAGTTCAGTTCTAGTTCAGTTCTAGTTCAGTTCTAGTTCAGTTCTAGTTCAGTTCTAGTTCAGTTCAGTTCTAGTTCAGTTCTAGTTCAGTTCTAGTCAGTCTAGTTCAGTTCTAGTTCAGTTCTAGTTCAGTTCTAGTTCAGTTCTAGTCTAGTTCAGTTCTAGTTCAGTTCTAGTTCAGTTCTAGTTCAGTTCTAGTTCAGTTCTAGTTCAGTTCTAGTTCAGTTCTAGTTCAGCTCTGCATAGTTCTGTTCTAGCTTTTACGAGTTGTTATTTTTGAAGCTGTTAATTTGAAAGGAGTAAAAGATAATGTAGATATATTTTATATCATTGCAAAGGAAATTGTTTATACTTTTCAATAATTTATAAAATGTTTCACAATTAACAAATTCATTTAAAACTTTTTACAAATACACTTATTTTAAAAATAACTAAAAAGAGTTTTTATACAGTTGCTTGCATTAAATCAAGTTAAATTAGTTATATTATATATCGTTTGAAAGGAAATTATGTCTACTGTTCAAAAATGTATAAAATTTATATTAATCTAAATATTCATGAACGTCTTTTTGCAAAAAGATGTATAAAATCGTTGACATTTGCTCTAAATATAAAGATGACAAACATATGTTGTCGTTTGTGGTTGTATTGACGTAATTGTAAATCAGCAGTAACGGTAAACTATTAACAGTGCTGCCAATGTATAATTTAGAAAGCTGTAACCCTTTTTGTTTTAAATTTTAGTTGTACTCTTGAAATTATGTATAATTTAAGGAATATTTCATTTTAGACTAAAAAATAAAATAAATCGATGTAATTTTATAATCTTTAAGCTAAAGTCCGGGAATTTTTTAATGTTTTTTTGAGAATTACTTATGGCATTGTTACTTTTTTATGAAATTTTTATGAAAACGTCAGCATTTAACTTGAACTTTATCATTTTGAGAGCAAAATTTACGACACGTTTTTTCCAACATTTTCAATTTGATATTTTTAATCATATACTTGTTCCAATTACAGAAATTTTAATTTTATTTACAAAGAAAATAAAGCAATAAATTATTATTTGCAAAAAAATAAGATTAATCTTTTAAACTAAAAACAGAGCAAAAAGAATTTAAAATAAAAGATTAAAAATAATACTTGAGCAAGCAACCATATTAAAAATTTTATTAAAAGTTTTTTAGTATAAATGACCCTTAAAATAAAAAGTTTATCAACTTTTTCTGTCTGTTTTTTTGTAAATTAAATTTAATTAAACTTTTGTTATAATTCAAATTAATAGTTAAAATTTCCCAATTGACGTCTCTAAAGTAGGACTTTAATTTAACCTTAACACTCACCTTTGCATTTTCCAGATATCTTTGCTTATGGCGGTTATTTGATTGCCTCCAACATATAAATATTTCAAATTCCTTAATTCGATAACCTGTTCCGGAAAGTGGGTCAAAAGATTGCCACTTAAATTCAATTCTTTTAGGCAGGATTGTTGATTTTTCATGGTAAACGTTTTGGGCAATGATTGATTGGTTAATTGATTATTTTTGGCCACTAAAGTGACCAACGGCAATTGGGCTATTGCTTCGGGTAATTCTGTCAATTGATTTGAACTTAAATCCAAAATGCGTAAATTTGTGAAATTCTTAATGGTCGTGGGTAAAAATTTGAGACGATTATGATTGAGTAATAAAATTTCTATATCTTTTTGTGATTTCAAACGCTGTTTAGTCTCGGAGTAGAGATCATCTTCCAAAGTGATTTCGTATAAATTCATGCGGCCATAATCCAAAGTTTTCTGTTCGCGTGAGTCGGTGTCACTGCTATCTGATGTATAAACCTCCATTTTGTTTTGTTTATTATATTTTTTTTCTTTTACAATTAAATGAATTTGTTAAAAATTGTTTAAATATTCTTTTAAATAATTATTTTTATTTATCTCTTATTTATTTTCAATTTATCACATAATTTTCTGTTTTTCTTTGATATGTTGCCCTAGTTTTCACTTTTCCACTTTTCTTTAAGTTTGTTTACACGCCCGTTTTATTTTCTTGAAATTTTTTTATATAATAAAATCCGTGTCCGTTCTGAAAAACATACGTTGTTGAAATGATCAGTCTATAGTTTGACTCTCGCCTATAAAGCTTGACTTAATCAAGTGTTCAATTTATTATCACCTCTAGACAGTGTATATTTCTTATTCAATGTGTGTGAAAGTCGTAGGAACAAAAAAAAACTTTCTTAATCTAATTTAAGTCGACTTTTTTTGCACCCGACTATTTAATATTCTACAACTAGAAAATTTCTTCAAAAAACTTTTTTGCAAAAAGTCTTCAATTAAGTTTGCAATAAATGAGAATAACATACACTTTTAAAAAGTAGACATAATTTCCTTTTCAGTGATATATAATATATCTACTCTAGCTTTGACATCCCTTAAAGTAATGGCTTCAAATGTGACAACTACTAGTAAATTATATAAAATTTATTTAGTAAACTTTTGCTTTACTTAACCTATCTTTTATTTTGATATACGAAATAATAAGATAGATTATTATATATCAAAATTTAGGAAATTATGTCTACTTTTAGATAATATATACAAATTTTTAATAATTTAATAGTTCATGCAAGATTTCTTACAAAAAACAACTAAGAAGCGTTTTTCGTCAGATTTTCAAAGTTGCTACTTTCTAAGCCAATAATTTCACAAGTTGAAAGATATTTATTAAACATATTATATATCAATGTATAGGAAATTATGTCTACTTTTCAAAAATATACAATTTGTTTCTTATATAACAAGTTTCTTAAACAGTTTTTGCAAAAAATAAGACAAACTAACTTTTTATAGAAATTTTTTGGTAATATTAATTTTAAACTCCTTAATTTAACAGTTAAAGAAGATAAATTATACATATTGTATATCAAATTGAAATTGTGTCTATTTTTCAAAAATATATAAATCTTTTACTAATTCTAGACTTTTTATAAAAATTTCACAAAAAGTTTTCACATTATAATATTTTATACTTCTGCTGTCATTCATTCAATTGTAAACAAACTGTTAAAACAACCGCTACTGGTAAAACAGTAATGCCAACTATGAATTTATAATTAAGATAAAATAAATATTAAAAGAAAACTAAAATATTTAAACTTTCATAAAATAGTCCAATAAAACGTTTTAAAATCAATGTGTTTTATAAATAATATTCTAATTTTCTATTTGTTTAAACAAATTTTTATAAAAAAGCTCATTTTAAATTCGTTTAACCCCTATTAATTTCTAAAGCCAGTTTTTGCAAGATTGTCTTACTCTTATCATTCATCTTTCTCCGTAATTTTATTTTATATATTTCATTATTTTACACTTTAACGTCAATATTTATTTTCACTCACACAAAATAACAACAATTTAAAAAAAAAAAAATAATAATAAATTTCCATGTTTACTTATGTATTACAGGAATAATAGTTTATTTTTTTTACATAATTCTAAAACTAATTGGAGACAATTGAAATTATCTCTCTAATACTTACTTTCCTTGTGATTTTTTCTAAAATTTTATTTTGTTTACATTAAATTTTATGCGAATATACTTTAAATATATTTGAAATTATTTTCTATTTCTTATCAAAAAAATAATAATTTTGTTATTGTATTGTTTTTTTTTAAATTTTTGCAGACTCATTTTCTTTGTGATTTTTTTTTCTATTTTTTAATAATTGCTGACAATACTATTTTTATTATTAAATGTGTTTTAATCTTTTAAATTAATATAATGGGGGGAACAAAAAAGTTGACCATAAAGTGCAACTACCATTATTTTGAATTGTGTATCAAATATATAAATATTTATTAAATTGAAAACGAATTTTAAAGACTCTACAGTAAATTTAAAGGAAATTGATCAAACTAGAACACAAATCAAACGGAACTAGAACAAAACAGAACAGAACAAATTGTTCAAACTAGAACAGAACTAGAACAGGCCTAGAACTGAACTAGAACAGAACTAGAACTGAAATAGAACAAAACTAGAATTGACCTAGAACTGAACTAGAACTGAACTAGAAATGAACTAGAAATGAACTAGAAATGAGCTAGAACTGAACTAGAACTGAACTAGAACAGAACTAGAACTGAACTAGAACAGAACTAGAACAGAACTAGAACAGAACTAGAACAGAACTAGAACAGAATTAGAACAGAACTAGAACAGAACTAGAACAGAACTAGAACAGAACTAGAACAGAACTAGAACAGAACTAGAACAGAACTAGAACAGAACTAGAACAGAACTAGAACAGAACTAGAACAGAACTAGAACAGAACTAGAACAGAACTAGAACAGAACTAGAACAGAACTAGAACAGAACTAGAACAGAACTAGAACAGAACTAGAAACTAGAACAGAAAAACCAGAACTAGAAACAGAACTAGAACAGAACTAGAACTAGAACTAGACAGAACTAGAACTAGAACAGAACTAGAACAGAACTAGAAAACGAACAGAACAGAAACTAGAACAGAACTAGAACAGAACTAGAACAGAACTAGAACAGAACTAGAACAGAACTAGAAACAGAACTAGAAACAGAACTAGAACAGAACTAGAACAGAACTAGAACAGAACTAGAACAGAACTAGAACAGAACTAGAACAGAACTAGAACAGAACTAGAACAGAAACTAGAACAGAACTAGAACAGAACTAGAACAGAACTAGAACGAACTAGAACAGAACTAGAACAGAACTAGAACAGAACTAGAACAGAACTAGAACAGAACTAGAACAGAACTAGAACAGAACTAGAACAGAACTAGAACAGAACTAGAACAGAACTAGAACAGAACTAGAACAGAACTAGAACAGAACTAGAACAGAACTGAACAGAACTAGAACAGAACTAGAACAGAACTAGAACAGAACTAGAACAGAACTAGAACAGAACTAGAACAGAACTAGAACAGAACTAGAACAGAACTAGAACAGACTAGAACAGAACTAGAACAGAACTAGAACAGAACTAGAACAGAACTAGAACAGAACTAGAACAGAACTAGAACAGAACTAGAATAGAACAAACAGAACTAGAACAGAACTAGAACAGAACTAGAACAGAACTAGAACAGAACTAGAACAGAACTAGAACAGAACTAGAACAGAACTAGAACAGAACTAGAACTAGAACAGAACTAGAACAGAACTAGAACAGAACTAGAACAGAACTAGAACAGAACTAGAACAGAACTAGAACAGAACTAGAACAGAACTAGAACAGAACTAGAACAGAACTAGAACAGAACTAGAACAGAACTAGAACAGAACTAGAACAGAACTAGAACAGAACTAGAACAGAACTAGAACAGAACTAGAACAGAACTAGAACAGAACTAGAACAGAACTAGAACAGAACTAGAACAGAACTAGAACAGAACTAGAACAGAACTAGAACAGAACTAGAACAGAACTAGAACAGAACTAGAACAGAACTAGAACAGAACTAGAACAGAACTAGAACAGAACTAGAACTAGAACAGAACTAGAACTAGAACAGAACTAGAACAGAACTAGAACAGAACTAGAACAGAACTATAACAGAACTAGAACAGAACTAGAACTAGAACAGAACTAGAGCAGAACTAGAACAGAACTAGAACATAACTAGAACAGAACTAGAACAGAACTAGAACAGAACTAGAACAGAACTAGAACAGAACTAGAACAGAACTAGAACAGAACTAGAACAGAACTAGAACAGAACTAGAACAGAACTAGAACAGAAGAACTAGAACAGAACTAGAACTGAACTAGAACAGAACTAGAACAGAACTAGAACAGAACTAGAACAGAACTAGAACAGAACTAGAACAGAACTAGAACAGAACTAGAACAGAACTAGAACAGAACTAGAACAGAACTAGAACAGAACTAGAACAGAACTAGAACAGAACTAGAGCAGAACTAGAACAGAACTAGAAAAAAACTAGAACAGAACTAGAACTAGAGAACTAGAACAAACTAGAACAGAACTAGAACAGAACTAGAACAGAACTAGAACAGAACTAGAACAGAACTAGAACAGAACTAGAACAGAACTAGAACAGAACTAGAACAGAACTAGAACAGAACTAGAACTGAACTAGAACAGAACTAGAACAGAACTAGAACAGAACTAGAACAGAACTAGAACAGAACTAGAACAGAACTAGAACAGAACTAGAACAGAACTAGAACAGAACTAGAACAGAACTAGAACAGAACTAGAACAGAACTAGAACAGAACTAGAACTAGAACGGAACTATAACAGAACTAGAACAGAACTAGAACAGAACTAGAACAGAACTGGAACAGAACTAGAACAGAACAGAACTAGAACAGAACTAGAACAGAACTAGAACAGAACTAGAACAGAACTAGAACAGAACTAGAACAGAACTAGAACAGAACTAGAACAGAACTAGAACAGAACTAGAACAGAACTAAAACTTAACTAGAACAGAACTAAAACTTAACTAGAACAGAATTTCTTTTCACTCTTTTATTGTATTAAAATATTAAGGAAATTCTTAAGTATTATATCAATTTATAAAAATAATTTAAATTCTTATATTTCTTCAGTTTTTCTTCTATTCAAATGTTCTTTTTCCGTTATAATTGCTCAATTTTATTGAATATATGTTTAACAACACTGTCCTTATTTTAACACTTAACAAACACTTTAAAATGTAAACAAAACAACTGTTAAACAGGAATGTCAAATGCTATTATAATAGCAGAGTATAGTAATCAAAGTCAGCTGTTATACGCATAACAATTTAAGTGGCAGAATTTTTTCATTGTTATTTCACAAAAAGTATAGAATAAATTAAAAATTAATTAAATAAATTTGTGCAAAATATAAAATAGAATAAAATTGTTTAAAATTTCGAAGGAAAAAGCAAGTTTTTTATAAAGAAAGTTATAAAAATAAAAGTGTTATAATAAAAAAAAGTAAATAAAACGAAAGAGTACAAAATCCAAGGGGAATTAAAGCATGTTGTTATAATAATAATACACTGTGAGAATTAGGTTATTTAAGTGATAAAATACACTGTAAATACTTAAATTAAGGGTTAATAGACTGTTAGTAATATACAAGTGATATATTTATCATAACTTTTCATTTTATTGGTGTTACTAGGTAAACTTTAATGCAGCTTATCTTTTATTGCTAAATTATATATTTTTATAACAAATTAGTTATTTTTTTTTTGTTCTAGTTTTTTATGACAGCTTTAAGAGCATAACGTTTGTAGGTAGTGTTCAGTTGTTAATTTAAATGTTTAATAACTTATCTGTACGACTCTCTAGACACTCTCTACATAGACACTTCCTAATCGTAAACACCAACCCATTCTCCAGTCGAAATTGTTTTTTATTGTATAATTTTATTTTATTTTTTTTTTAGATTTATTATGATTTGTTTTTACTCTGCCATTCTCTAACTCATTTACATATAATTTTGGTTTGTAAGAAGAATAATATTTATTGATAATTGTATATAATCTACTAAAAAGCAACAAATATCTACTTATTGGCTGAAAAGAAAGAAAATAATAAATATTATTCTATTATTGATTTATAATTACGAAATAGTATAAAACAATTCAATTATAAATGTCGTCTAGTCTAAAGTATGTTGGTTTAACAGTTTTAAGATCAACAAATTTCAAAACAACAACAAGTTTATCAATTACTACTAAATTAACCGCCACCGCAACAACAACAACGACACGCAATTATCATTTACTCTCTGCTATTGATCTAAATAATTGGAGAACCCCAACTCAACAGCAACAACAAAAATTACCTCAAACAGCTGTCAAAAATACTTCCTTATTAAAACTAATAAACAAAATAGATAAAACCTGCCTGCCATTAAGTACTTTTCATAAGTAAGTTAAATAATAATCATAAAATAATAATAAAAAAAAGAAAATGTACTCCAAAAAAAAAAAAACGTATTCTACTAAATATTTTCCATTAACTAAATTTATTCTTTCATTTCCTCTCTTAGATATAAAAACATAATGGATGCTCCGCCTGGCTTATTTAAGGGTTCTTTGGATCGTTTTAATGGCATCACTGTAGATTCTGCTGTAGAATTTAATCCAGAGGATAATTTTGCTGAAAAATTAGAAAGTATTAAATGTTACTTCTTACTTAATTAATAAACATATTTTATAAAATGTTTCTTCTATTTTAGAATCTTTGGCCTATTGGCAGGAACAGAAAAGACGTGCTATTTGGTTTCATGTTAAAACGGAACATTCCGAATGGGTGCCACATTTAACCAAGGTAAGGTGAATTCTCTTCTAGTTCTAAACCAGTTCAGTTCTACTTCAGTTGTAGTTCAGTTCTAGTTCAGTTCTAGTTCAGTTCTAGTTCAGTTCTAGTTCAGTTCTAGTTCAGTTCTAGTTCAGTTCTAGTTCAGTTCTAGTTCAGTTCTAGTTCAGTTCTAGTTCAGTTCTAGTTCAGTTCTAGTTCAGTTCTAGTTCAGTTCTAGTTCAGTTCTAGTTCAGTTCTAGTTGAGTTCTAGTTCAGTTCTGGTTCAGTTCTAGTTCAGTTCTAGTTCAGTTCTAGTTTAGTTCTAGTTCAGTTCTAGTTCAGTTCTAGTTCAGTCTAGTTCATAGTCATTCTAGTTCAGTTCTAGTTCAGTTCTAGTTCAGTTCTAGTTCAGTTCTAGTTCAGTTCTAGTTCAGTTCTAGTTCAGTTCTAGTTCAGTTCTAGTTCAGTTCTAGTTCAGTTCTAGTTCAGTTCTAGTTTCTAGTTCAGTTCTAGTTTCAGTTCTAGTTCAGTTCTAGTTCAGTTCTAGTTCAGTTCTAGTTTCAGTTCTAGTTCAGTTCTAGTCAGTTCTAGTTCAGTCTAGTTCAGTTCTAGTTCATTCTAGTTCAGTTCTAGTTCAGTTCTATGTTCAGTTCTAGTTCAGTCTAGTTCAGTTCTAGTTCAGTATCAGTTCAAGTTCTAGGCTCAGTTCTAGTTCAGTTCTAGTTCAGTTCTAGCTCAGTTCTAGTTCAGGTTCTAGTTCAGTTCTAGTTCATTCTAGTTATAGTTACAGTTCTAGTTCAGTTCTAGTTATAGTTACAGTTCTAGTTCATGTTCTAGTTATAGTTACAGTTCTAGTTCTGTTCTAGTTATAGTTACAGTTCTAGTTCTGTTCTAGTTCAGTTCTAGTTCTGTTCTAGGTCTGTTCTAGTTCTGTTCTAGTTCTGTTCTAGTTCTGTTCTAGTTCTGTTCTAGTTCTGTTCTAGTTCTGTTCTAGTTCTGTTCTAGTTCTGTTCTAGTTCTGTTCTAGTTCTGTTCTAGTTCTGTTCTAGTTCTGTTCTAGTTCTGTTCTAGTTCTGTTCTAGTTCTGTTCTAGTTCTGTTCTAGTTCTGTTCTAGTTCTGTTCTAGTTCTGTTCTAGTTCTGTTCTAGTTCTGTTCTAGTTCTGTTCTAGTTCTGTTCTAGTTCTGTTTCCAGTTCTGTTCTAGTTCTGTTCTAGTTCTGTTCTAGTTCTGTTCTAGTTCTGTTCTAGTTCTGTTGTAGTTCTGTTCTAGTTCTGTTGTAGTTCTGTTCTAGTTCTGTTCTAGTTCTGTTCTAGTTCTGTTTTAGTTCTGTTTTAGTTCTGTTCTAGTTCTGTTCTTGTCTAGTTCTATTGTAGTTCTGTTCTAGTTTAGTTCCAGTTCAGTTCTAGTTCTATTTGTGATTAGTTTAGTATAATTCTAGTTCAGTAAAAATGTATAATCAAATAATTTATGAATATATTCTGAATTACTAAATTTGTATTCGTTTATAGTGACATAGTTTTCAAAATCAGATATAGCTGATCATTTGCAATTCATATTTTGGAATAAATTAAAACATATTTAATGAAAAAAATCTATTGAAAATCTCAATACTTTTTGTATTCAACAATTAAGCGTAATTTATTGAAACTATTAGTAATTATTAACTCCGATTTTGGATTTATTATTAAAACGTAATAAATCGTTCAGCTCTCAAAAAAGGAATACAGAAATCATGGCATCCGTGACGTAAATCAGTAATGCCAAGTTTTTTTTTCGGTTTTTAAAAAGTTTACGTAATTTTTATCTCATATTCAATTTATCTTCAAGGCACGAGAACTAAGTTATAAAAAATTTTATAATTTTTCAAAAAATTTTAATTATTTGAAATTAGCATATCTTAAATCATATAAATTATTAATAAAAATTTAGTTTATTTTGATTTTTATAACAGCAATAAAGATAATTTTCCACATGTCTACATAATTTGTTTATGCACTTGGAAGGCAGCAAAAAGCACTTGAAACATGTGCTATTTTAAAAATACTTAAGATTAGAGTTAATTAAGATAATGACTGAAAAAATATGGACTTGACATAAATGGGTTTTTTGTCACAAATAGGTTTTTACCAAAAGTGGTCATTGACACATATTAATTTTTATTGAATAGTCCATCCAATGTTAAGTCCATCTAATAAGTTCAATTCAATTCTTTAGATCTGGAACAATTATATATTATATCGGAAACTTTTAAATCAGTTTTAGTTCTATACTAGTTCTGTTCTAGTTCGGTTCTAGTTCTGTTCTAGTTCTGTTCTAGTTCTGTTCCAGTTCTGTTCTAGTTTTGTTCTAGTTCTGTTCTAGTTTTCTTTAGTTCTGTTCTAGTTCTGTTCTATTCTAGTTCTGTTCTAGTTCTGTTCTAGTTCTGTTCTAGTTCTGTTCTAGTTCTGTTTTCTAGTTCTGTGCTAGTTCTGTTCTAGTTCTGTTCTAGTTCTGTTCTAGTTCTGTTCTAGTTCTGTTCTAGTTCTGTTCTAGTTCTGTTCTAGTTCTGTTCTAGTTCTGTTCTAGTTCTGTTCTAGTTGTCTAGTTCTGTTCTAGTTCTGTTCTAGTTCTGTTCTGTTCTAGTTCTGTTCTAGTTCCTGTTCTAGTTCTGTTCAAGTTCTGTTCTAGTTCTGTTCTAGTTCTGTTCTAGTTCTGTTCTAGTTCTGTTCTAGTTCTGTTCTAGTTCTGTTCTAGTTCTGTTCTAGTTCTGTTCTAGTTCTGTTCTAGTTCATTTCTAGTTCTGTTCTAGTTCTGTTCTAGTTCTGTTCTAGTTCTGTTCTAGTTCTGTTCCAGTTCTGTTCTAGTTTGTTCTAGTTCTGTTCTAGTTTGTTTTAGTTCTGTTCTAGTTCTGTTCTATTCTAGTTCTGTTCTAGTTCTATTCTAGTTCTGTTCTAGTTCTGTTCTAGTTCTGTTCTAGTTCTGTTCTAGTTCTGTTCTAGTTCTGTTCTAGTTCTGTTCTGAGTTCTGTTCTAGTTCTGTTCTAGTTCTGTTCTAGTTCTGTTCTAGTTCTGGTTCTAGTTCTGTTCTAGTTCTGTTCTAGTTCTGTTCTAGTTCTGTTCTAGGTTTCTGTTTCTAGTTCTGTTCTAGTTCTGTTCTAGTTCTGTTCTGTTCTGTTCTGTCTAGTTCTGTTCTAGTTCTGTTTCTAGTTCTGTTCTAGTTCTGTTCTAGTTCTGTTCTAGTTCTGTTCTAGTTCTGTTCTAGTTCTGTTCTAGTTTTGTTCTAGTTCTGTTCTAGTTCTGTTCTAGTTCTGTTCTAGTTTCTGTTCTAGTTCTGTTCTAGTTCTGTTCTAGTTCTGTTCTAGTTCTGTTCTAGTTCTGTTTCTAGTTCTGTTCTAGTTCTGTTCTAGTTCTGTTCTAGTTCTGTTCTAGTTCTGTTCTAGTTCTGTTCTAGTTCTGTTCTAGTTCTGTTCTAGTTCTGTTCTAGTTCTGTTCTAGTTCTGTTCTAGTTCTGTTCTAGTTCTGTTCTAGTTCTGTTCTAGTTCTGTTCTAATTCTGTTCTAGTTCTGTTCTAGTTCTGTTCTAGTTCTGTTCTAGTTCTGTTCTAGTTCTGTTCTAATTCTGTTCTAGTTCTGTTCTAGTTCTGTTCTAGTTTGTTTTAGTTCTGTTCTACATCTGTTTTAGTTCTGTTCTACATCTGTTTTAGTTCTGTTCTAGGTCTGTTCTAGTTCTGTTCTAGTTCTGTTCTAGTTCTGTTCTAGTTCTGTTCTAGTTCTGTTCTAGTTCTGTTCTAGTTCTGTTCTAGTTCTGTTCTAGTTCTGTTCTAGTGCTGTTCTAGTTCTGTTCTAGGTCTGTTCTAGTTCTGTTCTAGGTCTCTTCTAGTTCTGTTCTGTTCTAGTTCTAGTTCTGTTCTAGTTCTGCTCTAGTTCTGTTCTAGTTCTGTTCTAGTTCTGTTCTAGTTCTGTTCTAGTTCTGTTCTAGTTCTGTTCTAGTTCTGTTCTAGTTCTGTCTAGTTCTGTTCTAGGCTGTTCTAGTTCTGTTCTAGTTCTGTTCTAGTTCTGTTCTAGGTCTCTTCTAGTTCTGTTCTGTTCTAGTTCTGTTCTAGTTCTGTTCTAGTTCTGTTCTAGTTCTGTTCTAGTGCTGTTCTAGTTCTGTTCTAGTTCTGTTCTAGGTCTCTTCTAGTTCTGTTCTGTTCTAGTTCTGTTCTAGTTCTGTTCTAGTTCTGTTCTAGTTCTGTTCTAGTTCTGTTCTAGTTCTGTTCTAGTTCTGTTCTAGTTCTGTTCTAGTTCAGTTCTAGTTCAGTTCTAGTTCTAGTTCAGTTCTAGTTCTAGTTCAGTTCTAGTTCTGTTCTAGTTCTGTTCTAGTTCTGTTCTAGTTCTGTTCTAGTTCAGTTCTAGTTCTGTTCTAGTTCTGTTCTAGTTCTGTTCTAGTTCTGTTCTAGTTCTGTTCTAGTTCTGTTCTAGTTCTGTTCTAGTTCTGTTCTAGTTCTGTTCTATTTCTGCTCTAGTTCTGTTCTAGTTCTGTTCTAGTTCTGTTCTAGTTCTGTTCTAGTTCTGTTCTTGTTCTGTTCTAGTTCTGTTCTATTTCTGTTCTAGTTCTGTTCTAGTTCTGTTCTAGTTCTATTCTAGTTCTGTTCTAGTTCTGTTCTAGTTCTATTCTAGTTCTGTTCTAGTTCTGTTCTAGTTCTGTTCTAGTTCTGTTCTAGTTCTGTTCTAGTTCTGTTCTAGTTCTGTTCTAGTTCTGTTCTAGTTCTGTTCTAGTTCTGTTCTAGTTCTGTTCTAGTTCTGTTCTAGTTCTGTTCTAGTTCTGTTCTAGTTCTGTTCTAGTTCTGTTCTAGTTCTGTTCTAGTTCTGTTCTAGTTCTGTTCTAGTTCTGTTCTAGTTCTGTTCTAGTTCTGTTCTAGTTCTGTTCTAGTTCTGTTCTAGTTCTGTTCTAGGTCTGTTCTAGTTCTGTTCTAGTTCTGTTCTAGTTCTGTTCTAGTTCTGTTCTAGTTCTGTTCTAGTTCTGTTCTAGTTCTGTTCTAGTGCTGTTCTAGTTCTGTTCTAGTTCTGTCCTAGTTCTGTTCTAGTTCTGTTGTAGTTCTGTTCTAGTTCTGTTCTAGTTTTGTTTTAGTTCTGTTCTACATCTGTTTAGTTCTGTTCTAGCTCTTTTCTAGTTGTTCCCTAGTTCTGTTCTCTTTCATTTATCGTATTCTAATTTCCGTCTTCTCCTTGTTTCAGATGAATTTCGAATTTCATCATGCCAAAAACGGTATGGTGGTCCTCAATCGTTGGCTACCGGAGGATGAATACCCCAATCTACCCGTTTATTCGCATACCATGTTGGGCGTGGGAGGTCTAGTAGTGAATGACAAAAATGAAGTGCTCGTGGTATCAGAACGTTTTGCCCTCATACCCAACAGTTGGAAATTGCCGGGAGGTTATGCTGAGCCCCATGAAAACATAGTGGACGCCGCCATACGTGAAGTACGCGAAGAGACAGGTGTAGAAAGTGTTTTCAACACTGTCATTAGTATGAGACATGCTCACGGTGGACCCTTCGGTTGTTCCGATATCTATTGTGTGGTGGCCCTAACACCTACTTCTTTGGAATTGCAGCGCTGTGAACGTGAAATAGCTAAAGTTAAGTGGATGCCTTGCGATGAGTACTTACAACATCCCAATGTTCATGAGACCAATAGACATTTCCTAAGATGTTTTCTGGATTATAAAAAACGTGGCATACGTTTCACCTGTGAATTGGCCCAACATCAAATATTGAAAAAGGAATATTGTTTATATTACATGAAGGCAATTGAGGAGGGGGAGAGCGAGAAGAATGGTAAACAGCAGGATTCCCGGGAATTGGACAAACTGTAACATTTGTTAAGACAAATTATGTTTTATGTTATAACATAAATGTTTTTAATAGCTGTAGAAAAATGTTTTGTAAAATATTGCTAAAGAAAAGCTGTGCTTTTATTTTATAACTTTTATAAAGGAATTGTAAGTGAAATTTGTTTAGCTAAAAATTGTTTATTAAATTTGTATAGTAAATTTTAAAAATGTGAAAAAAAAACAAAACTTTTAATTTTTATAAATAAAACTATAAAATTGTTATTAGACTGTTATAATTTCAATATGATTACTAAATTAAGTTTATTATTATGTGTTTATTTAGTTGAACATTTCCGTTTTCCTGTTTATTTTCCTTGCAGCCTCTAGAAAGTTTGTTTTTCAAATTGTTCTTTGTAATACACAAGTGTTGCTTTAATCCTCAAGTCCTTTTTGAAAAGCAAAAAACATAAAACTTTCTATAAATTTTTTTATTCACTTTTTCCCTCTCTGTTCACAAACCACTTAAAATGCCATTCATTTTTATGTTTATTCATTCACTTTTTTTTTCTCATTTACAGTTTATGTTAAGCTTTCCAAGAGTCATTGACATTAATTTTTTAATATTCATTTCAAACAACCTCCTCCTCCTCGCTCTCCCAGGCAAATATTGCTTACAAAAAAGACGCAAGGGTTTAAAGTTAAATAAAGCAGTTATCATTATAATGCTTTAAATCCTGTTTAAATATTTATATCCTTTTTCGTTTTCCTGTCCCACATTTGTTGCATAAAAGTTGTCTTTAGAAAACTTTCAGTTTTTGTTTTTCTAAGGGGGTTTTTTGATTTCTCCTTCAAACTAAAGAAAATGGCCAAAATAATAATAAAATGAACACTTTACTTTTCCTGTCTAGGAAATTGTTAATGGTTGGGTAAACATTAGATAAAACTGTTACTGTAAACAATTTCGTAAAGTTTCTGGGGGAAAGGGGTTGTACATATTTTTATTATTTTAATTTAAGTAAATGGTAAAATAAGAGTAAAACTAAAGAGTATCTTCTTGCTTAATAAATTTCTCTTTTCGCCTCATAAGTCTCTTAGTTCTTATCTAATTCCTTTCGAGCTCTGTTCTATTTCTGTTCTAGTTCTGTTCTAGTTCTGTTCTAGTTCTTTTCTAGTTCTTTTCTAGTCTTTTCTAGTTCTGTTCTAGTTCTGTTCTAGTTCTGTTCTAGTTCTGTTCTAGTTCTGTTCTAGTTCTGTTCTAGTTCTGTTCTAGTTCTGTTCTAGTTCTGTTCTAGTTCTGTTCTAGTTCTGTTCTAGTTCTGTTCTAGTTCTGTTCTAGTTCTGTTCTAGTTCTGTTAGTCTGTTGTAGTTCTGTTGTAGTTCTGTTCTAGTTCTGTTCTAGTTCTGTTCTAGTTCTGTTGTAGTTCTGTTGTAGTTCTGTTCTAGTTCTGTTGTAGTTCTGTTGTAGTTCTGTTGTAGTTCTGTTCTAGTTCTGTTCTAGTTCTGTTGTAGTTCTGTTGTAGTTCTGTTGTAGTTCTGTTCTAGTTCTGTTCTAGTTCTGTTCTAGTTCTGTTCTAGTTCTGTTCTAGTTCTGTTCTAGTTCTGTTCTAGTTCCGTTCTAGTTCTAGTTCTGTTCTAGTTCTATTCTAGTTCTGGTTCTGTTCTAGTTCTATTCTAGTTCTGTTATAGTTCTGTTCTGTTCTAGTTCTGTTCTAGTTCTGTTCTAGTTCTGTTCTAGTTCTGTTCTAGGTCTGTTCTAGTTCTGTTCTAGTTCTGTTCTAGTTCTAGTTCTGTTCTAGTTCTAGTTCTGTTCTAGTTCTATTCTAGTTCTAGTTCTGTTCTAGTTCTGTTCTAGTTCTGTTCTAGTTCTGTTCTAGTTCTGTTCTAGTTCTGTTCTAGTTCTGTTCTAGTTCTGTTCTAGTTCTGTTCTAGTTCTGTTCTAGTTCTGTTCTGTTCTAGTTCTGTTCTAGTTCTGTTCTAGTTCTGTTCTAGTTCTGTTCTAGTCTTGTTCTAGTTCTGTTCTAGTTCTGTTCTAGTTCTGTTCTAGTTCTGTTCTAGTTCTGTTCTAGTTCTGTTCTAGTTCTGTTCTAGTTCTGTTCTAGTTCTGTTCTAGTTCTGTTCTAGTTCTGTTCTAGTTCTGTTCTAGTTCTGTTCTAGTTCTTTTCTAGTTCTGTTCTAGTTCTGTTCTAGTTCTGTTCTAGTTCTGTTCTAGTTCTGTTCTAGTACTGTTCTAGTTCTGTTCTAGTTCTGTTCTAGTTCTGTTATAGTTCTGTTCTGTTCTAGTTCTGTTCTGTTCTAGTTCTGTTCTAGTTCTGTTCTAGTTCTGCTCTAGTTCTGTTCTAGTTCTGTTCTAGTTCTGTTCTAGTTCTGTTGTAGTTCTGTTGTAGTTCTGTTGTAGTTCTGTTCTAGTTCTGTTCTAGTTCTGTTCTAGTTCTGTTCTAGTTCTGTTGTAGTTCTGTTGTAGTTCTGTTGTAGTTCTGTTCTAGTTCTGTTCTAGTTCTGTTCTAGTTCTGTTCTAGTTCTGTTTTAGTACTATTTCTGTTCTAGTTCTGTTCTAGTTCTATTTTCGTTCTGTTCTAGTTCTGTTCTCTTTCTGTTCTAGTTCTGTTCTAGTTCTGTTCTAGTTCTGTTCTAGTTCTGTTCTAGTTCTTCTAGTTCTGTTCTAGTTCTGTTCTTAGTTCTGTTCTAGTTCTGTTCTAGTTCTGTTCTAGTTCTGTTCTAGTTCTGTTCTAGTTCTGTTCTAGTTCTGTTCTAGTTCTGTTCTAGTTCTGTTCTAGTTCTGTTCTAGTTCTGTTCTAGTTCTGTTCTAGTTCTGTTCTAGTTCTGTTCTAGTTCTTTTCTAGTTCTGTTCTAGTTATGTTTTAGTTCTATTTCTGTTCTAGTTCTATTTTCGTTCTGTTCTGTTCTAGTTCAGTTCTCGTTCTGTTCTAGTTGTTCTAGTTCTGTTCTAGTGCTGTTCTAGTTCTGTTCTAGTTCTGTTCTAGTTCTGTTCTAGTTCTGTTCTAGTTCTGTTCTAGTTCTGTTCTAGTTTTGTTCTAGTTCTGTTCTAGTTCTATTCTAGTTATATTCTAGTTCATCCTTAATTTCTTATTTGTCTTAAAGTTTTCGTCTTCCTGCTTTCTGTTTACAAAGAGAGATGCGTAAAGAGTGTCACAATTTGTCCCAGAGATTTAACGAGAGTGTTTTTCATTACTATTTACTCAAACTCATTTCCTATTAGGATACTAATGCCGGCTATATCTCGCAAAGGTAGTGTTGTTATCAATTCACTAGAATTACACACAGCCGAAGGAAACAAACAACAACATTTAAAAGAGGAAGCTGGATAAAGTTTGTTGGCGTATTTTAGAAAGGACAAAAATAGCAGATTTTGGGAGAGTTGCGTGTTATTTATAGCGAAATTATATTTTTAACAAGAAATTGTGAGACACATACATTCATGCATATAAAAAGGCAGTAATATAAAGTTTTAATAAACAGTTATAAAAAGGACATCAAACAGGAAGCTTTGTTTTGAGTTATAAATTAAAGAAGAAATGAAAGTGATATAAAGTTAAATTATAACTAAAGGGAATAAAAATTAATAGTTAATATATAAAATACAAGAAAATAAGAAATACAAAGAATAGGGAATGAATATAAAATTAAACAAGTTAAAAATTTAAAGAAATTTGTAAGGAATACAGGCAAAAAAGTGAAAAAACTAATTAATTTAGAAAAAATTAAAAAAGAAAATAATTTAATTTAATAATTAAATATTTGTTAAAAAGTCTCAATAATTTCTGAATATTCAATTTAATTTACATATTTGGAAAACTACAAAAAAACTAAATAATGGATTCTTCGTATCAAGATTTAAGTGATTTGGAAAAATCTGTAAGTATCCATTTAATACTTTAACCTAGTCTTATTTGCCTTTATTTCCATTTAGTATATTTCAATTTTAATAATAAATATTGATATTTAATAACCCTCATATGTACACAGATATGTATGTATGAAATTGACATTTAAATTGTTAAATAAAATACAATTTTGACCTATATAAAGTTACACCCAATAATCATAACACCATCTCTACAAATAATGACTCTCTCTCTATCTGTTTTTGCAACTTTAGCAAAAACAACAACTCTTCTACCCTCTCCTAGCTAGTGGTCCACCCTGTCCTTTGCTATATTTTAAGAGCTACAACAAGAAGCAGATAAAGTTTAACATTTAATAGTGTCAATAAACATACCTTTCCTAAAGCGAAATCACAACTATAGTACAATCGCTACACTACTATATACAACAACACAAACAATAACAGTTATACAAATATAACTGTAAATGCTAATGCATACAGAGTTGCCTATCTTTGAGATTTTATGAAATTGAGTGTTAAGTTTTAGCGATTTAGAAAGAAATTCTAATTTAGTTCTAGTTCAGTTCTAATTCAGTTCTAGTTGAGTTCAAGTTCTGTTCTAGTTCAGTTCTAGTTGAGTTCTAGTTCTGTTCTAGTTCAGTTCTAGTTCAGTTCTAGTTCAGTTCTAGTTCAGTTCTAGTTCAGTTCTAGTTCAGTCTTTAGTTCAGTTCTAGTTTCAGGTTCTAGTTCAGTTCTAGTTCAGTTCTAGTTCAGTTCTAGTTCAGTTCTAGTTCAGTTCTAGTTCAGTTCTAGTTCAGTTCTAGTTCAGTTCTAGTTCAGTTCTAGTTCTAGTTCAGTTCTAGTTCAGTTCTAGTTCAGTTCTAGTTCAGTTCTAGTTCAGTTCTAGTTCAGTTCTAGTTCAGTTCTAGTTCAGTTCTAGTTCAGTTCTAGTTCAGTTCTAGTTCAGTTCTAGTTCAGTTCTAGTTCAGTTCTAGTTCAGTTCTAGTTCAGTTCTAGTTCAGTTCTAGTTCAGTTCTAGTTCAGTTCTAGTTCAGTTCTAGTTCAGTTCTAGTTCAGTTCTAGTTCAGTTCTAGTTCAGTTCTAGTTCAGTTCTAGTTCAGTTCTAGTTCAGTTCTAGTTCAGTTCTAGTTCAGTTCTAGTTCAGTTCTAGTTCAGTTCTAGTTCAGTTCTAGTTCAGTTCTAGTTCAGTTCTAGTTCAGTTCTAGTTCAGTTCTAGTTCAGTTCTAGTTCAGTTCTAGTTGAGTTCTAGTTCAGTTCTAGTTGAGTTCTAGTTCTGTTCTAGTTGAGTTCTAGTTCAGTTCTAGTTCAGTTCTAGTTCAGTTCTAGTTCAGTTCTAGTTCAGTTAGTTCAGTTCTAGTTCAGTTCTAGTTCAGTTCTAGTTCAGTTCTAGTTCAGTTCTAGTTCAGTTCTAGTTCAGTTCTAGTTCAGTTCTAGTTCAGTTCTAGTTCAGTTCTAGTTCAGTTCTTGTTCAGTTCTTGTTCACATCTAGTTCTGTTCTAGTTCAATTCTAATTCTGTTCTAGTTCTGTTCTAGTTCTGTTCTAGTTCTGTTCTAGTTCTGTTCTAGTTCTGTTCTAGTTCTGTTCTAGTTCTGTTCTAGTTCTGTTCTAGTTCTGTTCTAGTTCTGTTCTAGTTCAGTTCTAGTTCTGTTCTAGTTCAGTTCTAGTTCAGTTCTAGTTCAGTTCTGTTCTAGTTCTGTTCTAGTTCTGTTCTAGTTCTGTTCTAGTTCTGTTCTAGTTCTGTTCTAGTTCTGTTCTAGTTCTGTTCTAGTTCTGTTCTAGTTCTGTTCTAGTTCTGTTCTAGTTCTGTTCTAGTTCTGTTCTAGTTCTGTTCTAGTTCTGTTCTAGTTCTGTTCTAGTTCTGTTCTAGTTCTGTTCTAGTTCTGTTCTAGTTCTGTTCTAGTTCTGTTCTAGTTCTGTTCTAGTTCTGTTCTAGTTCTGTTCTAGTTTCTGTTCTAGTTCTGTTCTAGTTCTGTTCTAGTTCTGTTCTAGTTCTGTTCTAGTTCTGTTTCTAGTTCTGTTCTAGTTCTTTTCTAGTTCTGTTCTAGTTCTGTTCTAGTTCTGTTCTAGTTCTGTTCTAGTTCTGTTCTAGTTCTGTTCTAGTTCTGTTCTAGTTCTGTTCTAGTTCTGTTCTAGTTCTGTTTTAGTCTGTTCCAGTTCTGTTCTAGTTCTATTCTAGTCCTTCTAGTTCTGTTCTAGTTCTGTTCTAGTTCTGTTCTAGTTCTGTTCTAGGTCTGTTCTAGTTCTGTTCTAGTTCTGTCTAGTTCTGTTCTAGTTCTGTTCTAGTTCTTTTCTAGTTCTGTTCTAGTTCTGTTCTAGTTCAGTTCTAGTTCTGTTCTAGTTCTGTTCTAGTTCTGTTCTAGTTTTGTTCTAGTTCTGTTCTAGATCTGTTCTATTTCTGTTCTAGTTCCGTTCTAGTTCTGTTCTAGTTCTGTTCAGTTCTAGTTCAGTTCTAGTTCAGTTCTAGTTCAGTTCTAGTTCAGTTCTAGTTCAGTTCTAGTTCAGTTCTAGTTCAGTTCTAGTTCAGTTCTAGTTCAGTTCTAGTTCAGTTCTAGTTCAGTTCTTGTTCAGTTCTAGTTCAGTTCTAGTTCTGTTCTAGTTCTGGTCTAGTTCTGTTATAGTTCTGTTATAGTTCTGTTCTAGTACTGTTCTAGTACTGTTCTGGTTCTGTTCTAGTTCTGTTAAGAATGTTTAATCTCGCGTTTTATTTTTCTGTAATTGGCAACACTTCTTTGTCCTCATACTACCGTTACCCACAATGCGTGTTGGTATTATTTTGGCAATATTGTAAATTTCTCTCTACCTCCCCCTCTCTCACACTCATTTAACGTCATCAATTTGTTTTTATTTTTATTATCATTTTGTTGTTTGTTTACATTAGCCATTCTTACCATCCTTCCTCGTTCTCCAAAATAGACTAGGATTTTAATAAAAACACCATTTAAATGTATATTTTATGTACATATATAAATAATACTTATATATATTAAAAAGCAAAAAAACTAACTACGTATTTAATATAAAGATTTATGTGTGGTTTTCTTGTTTCTCCCCCTCTTTCTCTCCTGGCTTTCAGGTGGCTCATGCCGGCACCCAATTGTGTACTATGGCTCATAAGCTGCACGAAGTTGAACGTTGCCTGGATTGTAATAACCTTGAGGAAATAGATGATATATGTGTTTTAGAACTATTGGAATCGATGTCAGAGGTAAGAGTAGATGGGAAAATATATTAATAAATTGTGAAAAGGGAAATTGAAAAATTTTTATTTCATTCTAAAGGTACGTAATGAATATATAAATTTACGCAAGGACATACAAGAAGTGCAACAGTTACAACGTGACGTCACCACCTCAATACGCGGTCAAATGCGTAATATGCATCAAACGTATCAAATGTTAAAGAAGCGTTTAGAATTAAAGGCCCAACAGAATTAAGTTGAGAATTTATTATAGAAAAATGTAGTTTATTAGTTTAAGAAAAAAAATATAGAATTTAGGGACAAGTTTTTATATAATTTAAAAAAAAAACTTATTTATAAAATAAGGAAAAATATTTATTTGAATTTAGAAATGAAAATTTATAAAAAATAGACTGTTTTTGTTTAAGAATATTTTTTTAATAAAAATAAATGTTGTTTAAAAATTTTTACAAATTTAAATTCCCAAATTGGGTACAATTTTGGAAATTTGAGCTCAAATATTTAAAAGTTTTTATAAAAATCCTATGAATTATGAAAAAATCATTATATTAGATTTGGATTTTTTAGAAATTAAAAAATTTTCTTTAAAATTATTTAAAACTTATAAAAAATTTAAAAAAAAAACTTTGATTTGTTTATAAATTTTAAATTTTTCAATAAATTTTAAAAAGATTCTTAAATTCTTTTTATTTTCAAGTTTTTTATTATAAACATTTTTTAATTTTAATATTAATTTAAAATTTTAAAGCTCTTAAAAGCAATTTTCAGAAAAGCTTTTGAAATATTCTTTGAAATTAAACAAATTTATATAAATTTCTAATGTTTTTTCATCCTTTATAATGTCTGGCAACTTTAGCAGTTGTTTATTTATTAATTTTAATAAAAATTCTTAGAAATTAATATGTTTTTTATAAAATTTGCTTTATTTTTTATTAATTTATCTTAGTTTTTAAAAAACCCCACAAAATATGTAGTTGGCATTACTGTTTGATCATTGTTTTGTTTGCACAGCATTGCCAGGTGTTAATAATTTGTTTTGTTTATGTTTTGCGTATTGCCAGCTGTGTTTAAGTGTTAGCCCGTTAGCGATTTAGAGATAAATTCAATGTTTTGTTGTTTGAATTATATTGTAAGTGTTTTTATATTAAAAAATTATATAATTTAATTTAATAGCAATAAAAATTAATGTAAGTATGTGTTCTAGCAGTTATAAACAAAGAA